TACTATTGCTATTTTATTATTAGAAAGCTACAAAATGAGCTATCTGCACAATGTCCACCTCGGAGATTCGAACCCTGGATTGAAAGTTTGTAAACTTACCGCTAACCCACCGTGGGATCTTATTAATACTGAAGTATAAAACTGAAACTGTATATTTTATATGTTAACGAGATGTGTATCAAAAACTTAATTTTTTGTATTTATTTTCGAATTTCATCATATCGATTTTCCAAATAAGCATACTATTAAAATTGTGTCAATAAAAGTAAAATGATTATAAATTTTTATTTACAATTTCCGTGTACTTAATCACGCATTACATTTCTTAAATCATTTTTTTCATGTACATTTATGACACTATCGAGTAATTTAACACCTGCCACACAAGCCAGCCTGGCATCTTGACGTGGTTCAAAAAAATTAGTCATTCCTGAAAGGTTTGGGTTGTTTTGATAAAACAAAAAGAAGATGTCTGTCACTATGTTCGAGGTCTATGTCATTGGACTAGACTCGTGACCTAGCCAGAGACCATGAGAGCCAACATTGTTTGTTTGTTTGTTTTTGAATTTCGCACAAAGCTACACGAGGGCTATCTGCGCTAGCCGTCCCTAATTTAGCAGTGTAAGACTAGAGAGAGGGCAGTTAGTCATCATCACCCACCGCTGGGTGGGATTGACCGTCACATTATAACGCCCCCACGGCTGAAAGGTTGAGCATGTTTGGTGTGAGAGGGATTCGAACCCGTGACCCTCAGATTGCGAGTCGAGTGCCTTAACCACCTGGCCATGCCGGGCCAGAAAGCCAACATGGAGAAGTTAACTTGTAAATGTAAAGTAAAACAATGAAACATGCTTGAAGTGTGCTAGGTTGGTTGTAAATGTGATGGTTTAAGTGTAATGATTAAACTAAACCGTGGGTCTAGGTCGGATGAGGGAAAAACTTATTCGAAGATATTCCAATCGACTTGACATACCAGCTGAATCGGAACTTTGTCAACCGATTACTGCATTGACAGCGAAACATTAAAAAAAAAACAAAAAAAAAAACGGGCACAATAGTTTCGTTATCTTCGTAAAGGGGGATTGGAATCATATACAAGAAATCACTAGTTTCAATATTTTGTAAAACTAACGGTGCAGTAAAGCCCAAAGATGCTGTGTTCAAGTTGAATGAGATGCGCTACAAGAAGAAGTCCCTAGTGATTCTCAAATTACGAATTCCATTTCTGCAATGAAAAGTGAATATAAGAAGAATGGTATAATGCCCAGTATGGTACCACCATAGTCTAAACTATAAATATTTCATCATGTCATATTTTCATTAATATTTACTTTATTTTCGTTTTAGAAGTTTTGCCGAGCTTTGTTCATCGAGGTCTATCGAAATAGCTCTAAATCACCGGTTTCCGGAATGACCCCCCTGTTAACCATCCTAGGCTCAGTCCTGAAAGTCCAGGCATTAAACAAAACTGTTTTAAAGAAAGCAGTTAGCTGTTAGTTCAAATATTCCATTACACGTATGACAAATACTTAAGTATATCTACTGTTTATTATACAGGGTGGGCCAAAAGTAGGGTTACAGTTACTCTATTATTTGTTTCTCCTTCACAATCACGTGGGGTGTAGTCAAGAACAAGGATTTCTCTCATAAACCCACACACAGT